ACGAGACACGGAATTACAGAAGTAGAAAGGTACCGAAATATTTGGAAAAGAAAAGAAAGTTAAGTGATATGGGGAGTTCAAAAACAGGATCGCATAAAGATTTGGTACCTTCAACTAAACATGTAATTATTTTTAAAAAGTTCTATAGGATTTGTCAGTATTCGTTGCTTTACCAATTCACATTGTCAAAAATTATTGTTGCTTTGTTCAGTGTCATACCGACGATGTAATTGTGTGCACGAAAACAGATCCAACTAATAACCACGAACTGCTGAAATGTATTTGTAAAAGTAACGGATCTCAAGTGAGCTAGTACCGTTACTATCAGTTTGATACTTACTAATATCATTAATGACATCATTTCTTTTCTCGAATAAAATTCTGGAGATAAAGGATTTAGCACAAGACAATTTTTTTAGCCAAAGATTGAAATTTCCTTGAAAGATTATGCCGCGGATCTGCATCATTTGGAGCAGTCATGTTCTTCGTCTTTCTTTTCAAACTTTTTCTTGAAAAAAAAATCTCTGGAAACAATGAACGCCAGGCCAACGGCAGAAAGAAAAAATGGAATGTCTCATAATTCCATGACACTTGTATGTTTCAGCTCTAATTTTACGGTTTTGTAGTTAGTTCTAAAGAGTAACAATTTTGAGGAAATTATTGGGACTGTTTCAGCGTCACAGTACACCCACTGAAAGGACTAGCGGTTTTAAACCAAGTAAAAGCGAAGGAGAGTTGCTTCGGTCAGTTTTTGTTTGGAAAAAATTCTTTTTTAAAAATCTCTAGCTGAAAAATTGTTATTTATTCAACAGCTTCGTAACTTTAATTGCTTTTTTGTCTTTATTACTCTAATGACAATTGTCTAGGTGCACTTGTGGTAGGCTGGAAGCAGTTCCTTTACCCAGTTTGTGCTCCAAACTTTCCTCATCTTCAACTTCTGATAAGGGTGATAATGAATGTACTTTTGTTAGAGTTGGCGAGGTAATTTTTGTTTTGTTTAAGATTGCTGGAATTTACTACCACAACCACCCAACACAGTAAATTTTTTATTTTTAGGGAACTACCGATTCAATCGCTAAAACTGAAACCGCTAATATCTGTCTTGACAGAAAAGCACTTAAAGGCCAACGATTGAGTTTGTTGGAAAGGAGTATGGCTCTTAAACGCAGTAGAGAAGAAAAACAAAGTCGCGAATCAGGTAATATATCTTCTTCTCTGAGAACAGGCGACAAGTGGTGGTTTATTCTGTTTGCAAGCTGTTTTTTTTTGTTCCGGTCATTTATAAGGTTCAGGCTTTTTTGAAATCAAAGTTAAATACAGGATGTGTTGGTGGGAGTGATCAGCGACGATGTCGTTCAAAATCGCTTAGCCGTTTGGATGAAAGGTGTTGTTCTTCTCCAAAGTCTGATAGTTTAACACCAATTGCCGGCCGATCTTGCAAGCTTACTGTCACATCAAATGGTAATTGCTACTGTTTCCATTGTTAGAGTATCACTTTTCCAACTGGTATTCTCAAATATAGTTGTTCATTTTGTAAAGGATCGATATTTCAAAAAAACTTCTGCTGCCATCATTTTTTAATGTATTTACATGCTATGTTAGTTACCAGTCGCTCACAGTCAGTGATTCGTTTATTCTAGGAGACATCTCAGACGTTTTTGTAAGCGGTTCTGCATTTGGAAGGTATCTTGATGAAGAGGCGTCGAGAAGGTTACGAGACTCTGATGGTGAAGAAGATATTGAAGAGGAGGACGTCGCAAATGCAATAACTTGGACGGATTCGCCGAACATTCGACAAAGGTTATTGCAATACCTTTGTTATGATTTTAATGTACTTTTACGCTAACTTCAAATGGACATTTTCAAACGCGGTGTTGAAACTGTTTTTATCTATCTCTTGAAAACGGCATACCGCTACAATCTAGATTTTTTTTGAACCATCTTTTCTAGAATTGAAGTCCAAAAGCATTCTGAACCATCGGCCTCCCATCGACGTTGTTCTTCGCAGGTCGCTGAACTCGTATGGCGTTTGAAGCAAAAACAAGATATAAAAAATCGCTTGAGTGCTGGAAATAACGAGGTCTGTGGTTCCTTCGTTGTTGAATTGATGGAATAGTTCTCAAGTAGTTCCCTGAACCAATAACCGTTTCCTTTATATTTCAGCCATCATTTTCCGGCAGTAATAATGCTCAGCAAATCCGCAGCTGCTCTGATGTGATGCATAACTTAGGTGAAAGTATCAGTTCGCTCACATTAACTGGACGAGCTGCAAATAATGCAGTTGAAAAGCATTTGATTTCTTCAGCTAGGTAAGCAGATTTTTGGAGCAAAATTATTAATGAAGAGCAATTTGTGGCAGATTTATCTGTATACAGCACAGTGTAAAACTTTTTGAACCTTATTCTTTCAAACATATAAATTTTTGATTGTTAATTTGAAGAAAAATTGTTTTTTGTTTTTTTTTTTTTT